AACGTTCTGCTATCTCTGCGTTTTCTCATAGTAGCTTCATCTGGTCTGTTCCTGTTTAGCTGTGAAACCATACTGGAGAGAAATATCAGCTGTGCTGCTCCCATCAACACCTTTGATTATAGATGTTCAAGCCTTCCCTATTCTACAGTGTAGTCCTGTTTCTCTGACTGTGACAGTGTGGATGTGCACTCTTCTTCCTCTGATGTGGGAGTGGGCTTAGAGCTCATCTGCCTGTCTCTCTGTTTCTTGGACGGGGCCGCTTGTGGAGTTGTTGACAAAGTTCCTTTGTATCTCTGCTTCTTTTTCTATGTCTGCTTCTGTCTCCTTGAACCCCAGTCGGCCTCAGTAGATGGCCGCTCAAACTGAGCCTGGATCTGCTGGAGGTGTCTTCCTGTTAAAAGGGTTATTTTCCTCCCCACTGTCGCTATAAGCATTCTTGATGTAAGGGATTGCCTTTGAGTCAATAAGTTGATGCAGTCAACTGGTTTTCCTTAGATATAAAACTTTGAATTAATTTGCCTGTGTGATCTGGTTGAAGTGTCTCTGTAAAGTTCCTTGAGATTACAGTACGTGTGTTTGGAATTGGAGCTGGAATAATGTTGTTTGGACAGTTGAGTCCAAAATGAAAATATCTGGACATTGGAACAAAAGAAAAATTTGGCATTAAGCAAATACAGCATCACAGGAATAGAAGCTCCTACCAAATGTAAACTGGACCTTGTCTTGGTTTGACGCTTCTTTTCTTTTCTTACCATAATTTCATCAACTATGAATTCTACCAATAATAGGAAGTTTAACCATATGTGAAAAATAAAAGCTGAAGTAGAGCTGGACAATTCATGCCATTAACCACTCAGGCATCATTTGTGTAACACTCAAACAAAATTACATTTTCTTTTCTCATGACTGTAAACACTATAACATAATTTTCAGGTTGGGCAGAGGTTTGAAGGACCCAAATGCAGAAACGGAAAGAACTGTGGTTTCTCACAGATTTAATATCCAAAAATCGGAACAGAAGAAAAAAATCCAGGATAACAAAATACAGAAAACTAAAAAACCAAGAAACATCAGGGGAAAAAAAACACATCGGGAGCCAAAAAAAAACAACAACAAAAAAACACGAGGAACCAGCAAAGAGTGACTGAAAAGGAGTACGGTATATATGAGAGACCGAAACAATGGAAGGACTAATTGGTAGACGGAGAACAACTGTCTGCAGAAGAATCTAGAAGAGAGCAACAAGAAGGAGATTGACACAAGAGGGCAACAGAGGGTAAACAAGAAATACATCAGAACTCAAAACATTTAAAAATAACTAAAACAACACAAAATGGAAATAAAAAACCAAGAGAAAACTTAAACAGAACCAAAATTATGACAATAATGAACACAGGCCTTTCTAATTGGAGCTGGTATATGGCAACATTTGGTTGTTTGGGGATTAACAACACCTTTCTTTAAATGTATTAAAGTAACAAGACAAGAACTGGACAGTGAGGCTGTCAATAATAGGCCATCAGCAATTATGAAGTAGCTACAGGGACCACCAACGACTTAACAGTGTTCTTAGCACAACCTCATCTGCTATTGTTTTCCCATAAGAAGAAATCTGTACATTGAACTCTTTTAAACCTTGTTTAAAAATCACAAAGGTCTGTTTAGTGTCAAAGTAATGCTGCATGTCAAAAAGAAAGAAAAAGTCCAGCAATATTCAGTAGAAATGGCATTTATTTAAAAAATAAGAGAGCGACTACTAGAAGAAAGTTTTGAATGAATTTAATATAGAGCAAAATCTTACCATTTTAATAAGGTTTTGCAAAATATTAAAAACCAATGTAAGTTTTTTACTCCCTCTCAGATACTAAAACTGTTTTTGGTATTACATCAGTATTAATTAGCTTTATAATAATAAGATGGCTCAGAGGCTGCTTTTTAACTGTGAGCAACAAAAAGCTGGAATATTTGCAGCAATGCTCCTCTAGCTGTGAGACTGGGTTTTCAAACAGCCTTTAATACCGAGGGAAAAACCTGTTTTTAAGGATGAGAAAAGCAGTTACCTGAATAAACAGAAAATGAAATGAGTGAATGCTCAAGACATTCAGAGGCTTAGAGGAGTCTGTCGGTGGAGGTAATGGCTGGATTAAGCCGGTGTTGTGGAGGAGGAGGGTTAAATTAATGCATTCACTCAGCTCCCCTGCAGCAAAATGTGAGCATGGTGATCAAGAAGGTTAATTAAATAATTATCCTAATTAAATATAAGCCAGCATAATTGTTTTATTAATAGGCTGCCAGCATTTTGTCAGCCGGGTTCCTGGACTGCATAAGAAATATTTAAAAAACAGTCAGGAGGAAATTCAAATGAAAAGATAATGAAAAATAACTATTATTCAAATCTGCTGATATAAACTGACGAGGAAAAAATCATATCTAAGCTGAATCCAATAATTATTTGTTTAAAAAAGCCCGGCTGATTTAGCTATAAAAATGTAAAGGCATTCGTGACACTTATTTCACTACCAGCAGCGTTTTGTAATCTACTAAGGAGCAAATTCGAGTGTACTACTAATGAGATTTTGATAAAAGCCAAGGTTTAATGAAGCCGATGTTTAATTTTCCCTCTAAACTAGAGACAAAAGTGTTTAAAAATTATATATCACATTTTAAGATGTACTATGACTGAATTACCTAATGCAACTTGATAAAATATCTTATTCTTTGTACAAAATCTTGATTTTTTTTTTTGTTACTTATTTTATTTACACTTTTTAAGGTCCACATTTGTGTGACCACTTTTGCTATATTTTGCTGCTATAACACTACAGTTTCCCCATTGTGGGACAATAAAGGGATTTTCTATTCTATTCTATTTACTGTTTTTTTTTTTGGAAGTAAAAGACTACAGTCATCTTTTAAGTATAAGATTCCTTAACTTTGCTGTACTATTTTATTATTATGTCATTTAAATGTTTGTTCTTCAAACTACATGGGAAAACAAAACCTCCCTCAGAAATTAACAAGTATTAAAGCTATGAAGAATATTATCACCTATATAAACACCTCACAGCGTTTGGTTAAATTTTATAATGCTTTTGTGGGTAGGCGGTAAAAAGCTGTAGGTAAGACCATAGGAGAGAAGGCTTATAGCACCAATGGAGCATACATGTATGAATTAATTATATTATATTAATTATTGTAATTCCTGAAAAAAAGAGAATAAACGTGGATGTATGTAGGGCAAGTTACTGTTTATGATCTCTTGCATACCCCTTACAAACAGAACCCCCCATCCATCAGTGAGGTCTAGAAGCACAATATTTGTGCTGTATAGCTGTACAATTTTTTGTTTGACCAATGAAATGAGCCCTGGAATAATATTTACCTACTGTAAATCAAGTTGAAAAAACGTTAACAAGGAAAAAAAGGTAAAAAGTTAATAAGCTTAGTTAAAATGTAAAAAAAAAATGTGTTTGTATCAGTATTGATTATGTTGGTGGATTAGGTTATGTTGGAATAAAAAAAAAATTTTTCTCATTAATTTCTTGTCCATCCATCCATTTTCCATCACGCTTGTCCCTGCTGGGGTCGCAGGGGGTGCTGGTGCCGATCTTATGCTGTCAGCGGGCAAGAGGCGGAGTACACCCTGGACAGGTCGCCAGTCCATCGCAGGACAACACAGAGACAAACAGGACAAACAACAAAGAACATGCAAACTCTATGCAAAAAGACCCCGGACTGGGAATCAAACCTGGAACCTCCTCCTACAAGGCAGCATTGCTACCCGATCTTCTACTGCTTTATTTTATTTTTCTTAATATATTAGGGCAAGTTGCCGTTACTTATTACATCAACATTCATTTCAATCTGAAAAAATACACACAGAGAAAAGACAATTAGGAGAAATTTATTGATACAATGGCGCTCAGACCTAAGCAGGAAATATAGCGCTTATTTTTTGATAGATATGCATGAACAGGAGCAAAGAATAGGGCTGTTTCCCCCTCAGGCCTGAAAGTGGTGGTGGAGTGGAGATAGATGAAGTTGGTCAGTCTGTAGACTGCTGGTTAGTGAGACGGTATGCTGAGCTTTATGGGGAGATCCAGTAAATTGCGTGAGCTGATACTAGAGCTTCACTCAGGGACCTGGAAGATGGAAGTCTAGTTGGATAACACAGGTTGAGAGAACCTGTCCATGATGAGCAAGCATGAAGCGACAGTGGAGAGGAAAAACTCCCCGTTGGAATGAAAACTTTGGCAGAAGCAGGCTCAACATGGCGGCCTTCTGCCGGATCGGTTAGGATGAGACAGGGAACGCAGTAAGAGTCCGGGAGGAATGACACTCTGATGAAGCTTTAGCCACGAAGATTAAGGCTGGAGGTGGCTCCATTTTTGCAATCAAAATATACATACAAAAGTTCTAAGGTTTTGTTCTGTCCTCCAATTTGGGCTTGAAATTTTCATTTTCAAAGTATTTCACAGAGTGTGTGGGGATATTCACCATCCCTGCTCAGCAGCAATTGCGTTTTACTTAGGGTACACAGTGAAAAACTTTATCGACTACAGAAACACTGGACAACATCTTCTCCGTTGGCTGGCACTCTTCAACTATTGCTGAATCAGCTGTTTATTCAAACACATAAAGCATGGTTGTGGTGCGTGTGGGCACCTGCATTAGCATTGACGTCATTATGTCACACAGTGATTGGATGCTAATAAACATGAATTTGCCCAAAAAATGTTCTTAAAAGAGTGGCTTCTAAAGGGTTAAGCAATTTGCAGAGGAGCTAGCAGTGGTAAAGAGAGGTGCAGGTTGTCCAGAGTGGATTGCTACTAATGTCTGGAGTGATATTTGACAGGACAGCTGCTAAAAGAGATTAACGTTTGAGACACACTATAGACAAAGACAACAAAAGATGATTTTATGCTTTCGTGTAAAAACCTGATTGAGTAACCATCATTGAATAGACACACTGATGCAGAACCTTGGTTTAGATTTCCTCTGCATTTATTACTGAATGCACTGTTGTGCACAAAAGGTAAACAATAACAACCCCCCCCATTTTCCATAAAACAAATTCAATACAAGCAGCACCTACTCTTTACATCCATTATAAACAGAACGTATGTAGATAAAATATGTGTAATTCACTCTAAAAAGTTTTTGGATATCATTTGGTATTGTACATATGTATCAAAGACAGAACAAAATAAATGATCACAGTCGTATCTGTGAAGAGTGTTCTTTTTCCAAACAGTTTAGAGGAACTAAAGCGACAAAAATCAAAGCCCAAAAGTGCTGTCGTAGTTTTAAAAAAATTAAAAAATGTAAATAAAAGTCTTAAGCCCTCATGTGTTTCGACTATTTTAAATAAAATCACTCTGAAACAAGTAAACTGACATTTTTCACCCACCCCCCAACATTAACAGCATACAAAAGTTGAATTGATCAGTCAGGTTCAGGTTGGTAAAACAAACAGCAAAGAACAGCTGGCTGAGAGGAAACTGACTGCATACAGCGGCACAAACGGAAACAGAAGCATGTCCATATATACATAAAAAGGAAAATACATTTTGACTTTAACTTATATTGCTCTTATTTCTTTCCTGATCAAAACCTAAAGTGGTATTTCACTTGATTCATGCCTGCCTTGGGTAGTTCTTGACCTACCTTGACTGTGCCGCCCCTGCCGTGTAAACATGCCCACTTTCTCCCATCAGTGATCATTTCAGCTCATTGCTGAGAGGAAGCGGTTCTCTTAGAACCTCTGCACAGAGACGGCAACAGCTCGTTTTATTAGCTATAAATAATATCAGAGTTGTAATAATGTGTTTAGGGCTTGGCTAAGCTTTAAGATGAGCCTAATGCGATAGCATGCTATGGCAAAGATGCACCTATATCAGTCAACACAAGCATTTTAGTTCTTTTTTGTAGTAGTTGATTCCAGGAAGGGATAAGAATAGTAGGTAAAAAGTTAGTCATAATAAAAAGCTTTGAACATATTCCCTGATACTCTAAACAGACAAAGTTGGACTTTTACCTTGAATCCAGAACAATAAAGATTAATTTATTTTTCCTTCTCTAGTCAAAATAGCTGAACATACCTCCAGGTGTTCCTGCATTAAAAATAACCCCTAAAGCTTTCAAAATCAGCCAAGGTCTGCTTACAGATCAGAGTCTGGATTGTAATTCGACTTGCGGATCATTTGGAAATACCCCCACATAACCTACTTACTTACTGGACTGGCCTATAGTGTGGAAGCAGGGAAAACGATGCCTGCATTTGGTTCTTTAGTATTGTTGCCCTTATAAGGATGCATGAGTACATGAATACATCGAAGAGAAAGGGCAACATCAAAGACCTGACGTTTCTGACACCCGTGCTCCAACCGCATCCAGCGAATCTCTTCCCAACTGGCCTCCATGCTCACAGACCATGAACCCAAGCTGGTGAGCGAAGATCCTAACTGCTAAATCTACAGGAAAATCATGACTTTGCTGCAGGAGCTGCAGGAGCAGGATTAACTCCAATGTATTGAATTTCCAACCTTAATGTAAAGGACTTCAGCCTTTGCACACTAAGCATGAACACTGTTTTAATAACCGGAAGTTTCAATAAACTGTTTATTTTTATTGTTTTGAGACTTTGAGTTTAAGCATGATGTAATCTTTTAATGTAAAACGCTTCTCCAATTGTGTTCATGATTAAATGTTGTAGGAAGACTCTTAGGCTACGTAAACACTGCAGGCCTTGACGCTCAATTTCGATTTTTTTTTGTGTTGCTGTTCACATTTCCAGATATATGCGACTTGTATGTGATCTCCTGTGTGAACTGCAGTCATACAACCTAGGTGTCCCGCATGCGTAGTAGAGGATGAAATGACCTGTGTTTACGGAATTAAACATGGATGGTAGTTCCGGAGAACATGTAGCAATCTTTCCCAACCTTAAAAACTCAATCTTTCCAAGATGGTTAGACATAAATACTACTCTCTGCATTATCGTCCACCATTAATCTTGTATTTCTTGCCATTTCTGTGTCGCAAGAAGGAGAAGAGTGACATTCAGGTGAGATGAATGCGACCTGACCGTTCAGACGTAGGTTGCATTTGAAAAGATTCGTATCAGATTCAGGACCACAGAGCCAAGCAGCCTGGGTCGCATTGAAAAAAATTGTATCCGTGTTGTTCAGACTGTCATGAAAAGATGTGGGCCCTGCTCATACTTTGAAAAATGTGGACCTGATACAGGTGCATCCCTACCATGCCGTTGCAGCTTTAAGGCAATTCAGAAATGATTTTTCCTTATGCCAAGGGCATCATAGACATTTCTATAGTTGACTTTAGGGGCAAAATAAAAAAAAAATCAACTTTAAGAGATAATAAAAAAGAAAATAGTTAAGTCTTTCTTCACCTGAATATGTGTTTTTTTTATGACAGTAGATGACAGTTTGCATCTTTAAGCTCACAAGCGGTCTTCATATGAACATATGTGCATCTTGCAAAAGCATACAAATAAGAGAAACCCTGAATCAGAGCAACAAACCCCCCCACACAGCTTTCCTGGAAGATCTCTACTTATTTTGGCCCTTGCTGCCACTGTCCTCCCTGTCCTGAGAGCCTCTGTAACCGCGCTTCTCCCGCCTCTCCCGGCAATCCCGGCACTCTCCCTCGTCCTCTCCACCTTCCTCCTCGTCCTCGTGGATGATCTCCACCTCCAGACGGCCGATGTACAGCGATACGGCGCAGAGCCAGAAGAGGGCGACGCTGCTCACCACAGCGCCCTGGAGCAGCAGAGCTGGCACAGACAGCAGCATCAGCCTCCGCATGGCAAAGAGACTGCCAATGTAGGAGGCGCCGCCAAACGACACACAGATGCCTCCAAGAATGAAGAAGGCTGAAAATAAACAGATTGAAATACTCTTACTGCAGGAAATAAAGTAAAATCAAATATGGCTGCAAAGTTTGGTCTTTAGTCTTTTAAACTTCAATGATGAGTATATACAATTATTAAATGATTTAGAGAAGATCTGCACCGAATATTGAACAGAAAGAATGCATCAATAGTTTAATTAAACTTGCTCAGGCCTTGAATCCATTTCACTCAACGATTTTATTCAGAAATCCTCAAGAAATAAACAAAACTTAAAACAGCAGCTTCGGGATCAAATATCTGATCAGATATTCTGAGAATAATTAAGTTCAAGTGAGAGAAAGGATATTTTTACAGATTTATAACCATTTTAAAAGAGAATCATTATCCATCTGTATTAGTCTACTGATTCTGAATGAATAAAGAGGAAAGCTCTTTAGTTTAAACAATCAAGGTTAGGAGCCTGCATAATAAATCTCAATTCATCTATAACGTGCGTCTAAATCCAAATAAGAAAAATACAATACATGCTGTGCAATAAACAATTATTAGTAGCCTACTCCTACAGAGTCTCAAAAAGTCAATTTCTGCTCTTTTTTCAGGTCGGGATGAGTTTGGAGAAAGAAAGAAACTGAAAAATTATTAGCCGACGTATGAAAATTGAGGCAAAAACGCTGGCATAGGTTTTGTATAAGTTAATAGCACGCTGAAACATGTCGACATACAGCAAGTAGGTAGAGAAGTCTTGAGCATAAATTTCCTGATGCATGCCAGCGTATGCTCATACGTGGGGAATAAGTTACAGGTAAGTTATCTGACCGTTGACGTACATTAAGTGTAGGTTACTCATAAATCGTGGTGTCCAGCTTTCCCAAACTGAGTAACTCCAATGCATATCGACGTATTTGACGTATCTGGACTGGTTGTCCAGACGACCACTGAATGTGTTTCTAACTTACAGCTACCTAATAATGGCGTATTGGCAGCTTTTTGGTATAAAAGGGGGTTCACAGGCGGAAACCATCAGTACTCCTCCAGACTTCATCCCCATCATACGGTGAGCGAGAAGGCGAGTGTGACGGATCCTCCCTACGTTCACAACCAACAAACTTCCAAGCAGACATGATGCTGAATCTTAAGTGACTGCAGACCTTCTGTCTTTCTTTTTCCTTTTATTTATTATTATTTTTTTTAAGTTTAGAGAAAAGTTCTTGTGCTTTTTATTCAGGTCATGCGCCTCCAGGCGCATTGCTGCCCCCCACAGGACAGCTACTTGTGCATAATTTCATAAGCATTACGCTGCTGTGCATTAAGCATAAGTTAGGCTGTAGTTGGAAATACGCTCTGTAATGAATACACTATGTATACGCCCAAAATTGAAATAAAAAAAAATTCCTTGAAAGTTCAGCGTATGCCAGCGTTTTAGAGGAGTCTGGAAAGTCAGGCATACGCTGGCTAAATCTTGAGGTGTGACAGTTATTAGTAACCTTCTTCCCTATTGGCTGTTTCTCTGTCCTTTCTTCCTTCATGTATTTCTTACCTACAAAAACTTTGTTCTTCGTTTTCCACCTTCCTTCAGTCTTAAGTCACTTTCTGAAAATAATGTTCTGTGCTCTCTCTCTTTCTTTTTTACATTAGAGGTTAGCCAAAGTAGCCCCAGATGTTAAAATCTTTGCAATTTCTATTCATATTTTATAAAAGCCTTTGAATATCCTCATTTATTTTAGTTTCGTTCATTCATAAATTCCCTATCAAGCCTGTACTTCGGCATTTCCCATTCGCCGACTTATTGGTTGAATCCCTCTAACAACGCTTTGAATTACTGATGGTTGCAAAAACTCCTCACAGGTTGTCCTCACATCAGGGAAGTTTTAAACTCTTTTGACTGTCAGCTGTGATTGTTCAGCTGAGTCTCTGCAGGATGGGAAGGATAGATGTCCATTTGTTACAGCTCAGCTTTGTGGAGTTGTGTGACAATTGTGTGAGAGATAAGACATTTGATGTTTTTATTTGACTTCAAGGCATATGAGCGTACCAAAAAAATTTATGTTTTTTTAACATTTATTGTTTGAAAATCCTTGTATAAATAAGATATAGCTTTTGAAGAGCCGTAAGTACGGGGCACATTCTAAGACATCCTCAGGTCTTATTAATTAATTTATCAGATCTAAGAAAAAAGCCAACAGCTCTGCGATCATAGGAATACACACACTGTAAATCTCAGGCAATGACATAGCTCTTCTTTTAAGTTCAATAAAATCTTGCCAAACCAGGCAGGTATTGAATCTAAATTCTCACCCATAAACATATTATAATTTAGATAACATAAAAAGTTTTCATCACAACTTTTGCCATGCTGTTTATTCCTGAAATCTGTAAACGTTTATTTTTACTGGGCCCTGACGATTTTTATAAAATATACACGGTACGTGATGTAGCCTTTATTGTAACTCAAAATAGCAGTATCTGAATGCTTCTCTCAAGCATTTCTTTTTGGTGCTGTTCTCTTTCCTATGACAGTGACTAAAGCCAGAGGGAACTCGTACCATAACCTGCTTCCTGTCCCACTTCACTCTGGACGAAAGCAATGACTCCAATCCCAGTCGCCAGCAGGCCATTTCTGAACCACGACAGGAACCCTGGAAAACCGTGAACAAGTTAGCAAATGGTTGGATTTATTCTAGTTTTACATTTTAATCTAAACACAGCAGGCCTGGACGCTTTAACTCTATAACTTAATGCTAAATACTACTTTTCATGTTAAGACACACCTCCAAATTAGTGAATCACTAGATAAACTTGCTTACAGATTCAATTCTTTAATATTTTCTGAAAATTTTTTCCCCTCTGAGTTCAGTTTTATCTTCAGCATCTTATATACATCAGAGAAAAAATGGCAGCTTTTATTCCAGCAGTTTTTATTAAATCAACTCTAATTTAAAACAAGCAATAGTTAATTTTACTGCAGTGCATAGATTCACTATTTAACTATTTTGTATTTATTTTTTGCTTAATTTTTTGGAAGGCCAGAAAAGGTGTTTTAATTGTTTAAGATTTTAAATTTTAATTTTAAACTTGTTGGAACTAAAGCTAAGCACATATTTAAAATAAACAGATTCGGATAAAACAGATAAAACTAGTCATAGCTCCTATTGATCCTATTCTTTTTATTGGTTTTAACAGGTTTTATGTTGCTTCTCTCACTTAGTTCTTCACTTTCTACACAAACATTTTTTTAAGACAAGATCTTGCCAACGGCCAAAATCAAAACAAAAACAGAAAATTATCTAAATAGAGTACCGTCATGCAAACCTCATTAAATATTAATATGACTGAAATTGATGAAAAAAAAATAAAAATAATCAAATGTAGTATATTGAACATTGTTAAGCCAAAGCAGATTTATAGTTACAATTCTTTGAACATCTAGTCTTTAGCTTCTATATTCCAAACTGTTTGCTGTTCTGTATGGTCCATTGGGCTTTTATTCTCAATCTCTGATCGATTGTCAGACTTTCTATCTAATGTAGTGTTGCTTACTGACAAAGCTGTAATAGTGGGGGATTCTATGACAGCTTTAATTCCATCTTAGATTCAACTAGCTTTGGACAAATTTGGTCAAATGTTCTCCCAACCCTGTCCTCTGACTATTTCTTTTCCTCAAAGTTCCACTTTAAAAGTATAGTGGAGGAAAATTCTTTTCCCAGGTGGATCATCAAAATAAGTGTTCCTCCTAATTGTCAATATCTGCCTGATGACAATTACCTCCCCTCTCGAACACTGATGGGATTGAGTTTTGGTGGACAGATAAAGTCGAATGAATACGCTTTCTACTTGTATGGGGAGAAGTTTTAGTCGATGTGCTACAGTCAGTGTCCGACAAATATAGTCTCTGCTCAGTGGATGGCAATTCCTGCTTTTGCTATCAATACCATTAGATATCATTTCTGATAAAACATTAAGAATGTGTTTAAAAGTTACCCTTTTCATTTATATTTCAATCCGTTTTCTCATCAGTGTGCAAGAGTTTAGGGTGATGCACGTTCCTGCAACAGGGGAGGAAATTCTCCGCAGGCAGGAATTTCTCACCATTCATCTGTCGACTAAAACTCTTTATTTTAGGGCATCCATGCATAAGAAATAGGAAAATATTAAGAATATGTTTAAAAGGTCCCTTTTCATTCGTATTTCAATCCTTTTTCTCATGAGTGTGCGAGAGGGGAGGTAATTCTCGACAGGCAGGTAAATTTCGGCATAACACGCTGCATAAGCTGAACTTTCTATGTATTTTTTTCCAATTTTGGGCTTATACATAGTGTATTCATAACGAGTCCAGAACTTATGTCCAACGAGCCTAACTTATGCATAACACACGGCAGCGTGATGTCCATGAAATGATTCTTGTGCATCATTTCATGGGCATTACGGAGCATCAGTTATGACATTTAAATATGACTTCCCTACGACTTTAAGCTTTCTCTAAAAACAACAAACAGCAGGGGGAAACTTTTACATGACTGACTCTTCCAACAAAAACACACATTATACTAGTTTTATATAAATAAATAAAAATTCTATATATCTAAAAGTCAATGATTATGTTTGAAAGTTTGCCAGAATTACATCTACACCTAATTTATAGCCAAAAATGTTGTGCTTCATGCACAAAATGCTTGCTTATACTAGTGTTTGCTATGCTATGCTATGCTTGCTATGCTATGCTATGCTTGCTATGTTTGCTATGCTATGCTTATACTAGTGTTTGTGTTTATCTGAACCTGTATGAACAATCCTAACACTGTTGGGTTACAGATGATTCCCCATCATTTCACCTGCATATGGCCGCTCACACTGAGCCTGGTTCTGCTGGAGTTTTCTTCCTGTTAAAAGGGAGTTTTTCCTCTCCACTGTCGCTACAAGCATGCTTAGTGTGAGGGTTTGCATTCGAGTCAGTGAGTGATGCAATCAACTGGTTTTCCTTAGATAGAAAACTGAATCAATTTGACTGTATGATCTGGTGAACTGTAAAGTGCCTTGAGATGACTTGTGTTGTAAATTGGTGCTATGTAAATAAACTGAACTGAAATTGAATTACAAACTTGTGAGTCTATTTTTTTTTATTTTCAAACTAATTTCTCTCCGTTTAGTTTTATATCGTATGATAATTCAATTCATAAAAAAGTAAACCACTGCACAAAAAACCTAAAGCTGTCAATATATAACTATGGAGTGTTACTACGGAGTAAAATATTACCTGTTTCGTGTGATTTCCTCAGCATCTGCAAAAAATTTTAATAAAAAAAGAGAGCATTTTATATCTGCAACCACCAACAGCAGTTTATCTTCATTTCCATCAGATAAGAAATAAATATCCTACCAAAGCGTCCGCCTTGTCCAGGTCTGTGAGCTGGTACTGCTGCAGTGGCTGGTTCTTCCCCCATGGCCCCTTCTCCCCGACCCGCTGCCCCGCAGAGCCGTGCAGCCGCCTCAGCGGTGCTCCACCGCGGTCCGACAGCTTCAGCTTCACCGCTCTGAGGAAGCAGCTGACGGCTGGCGGCAGCTGCCTTCGCTTGAAGAGAGTCAGAAAAGCCATCACATCACCAACACCGGCTGGCTAAAACACACAATTCATACAAACGGGAAGGGAAAACACAACACGACCTTTGCATAACCTTTGAACCATCACGTGGACTCACATAACCCGGAAGAGTCTGTTTTCTGCCGCGGGGGATCACCGCAGCGCCGCCTGCTGGTAAATAGGGGAGAGTTTTAAAGTCATGATGTGGAAGCTCAAATTTAAGTACCATTTTGGTGTTAAAATATTTCTGATTATCATTTAATTCAAAATCTGATTTGGATCTCCCTTTTAATCTTAATTAGATGAGAATTTAATACTTGAATAAAAGTAAAATTGCAACTACAGTGTATTGCCACAAGAGGGCACTAGAGTACAGAATAATGAAACTCCACAAACTAGTCAAGTGTGTATATATGTCTATATATATATCTATATAGATATAGATATATATATATCTATATCTATATAGATCTATATAGAAAGATATATATCTATATCTATCTATATAGATATAGATATATATACATAATATGTTATATATTATATATTAGATAGACAGACAGACAGACAGACAAACAACCTTAGGCAAAGCCCAACTGCTATGGTTAAATGGTCATATGTATCATACATAAATATGAATGTATATGTATGTATATTGTATATGTATTTGTATGTATATTAATGATTGTATGTATATAAGAGAAGATAGATAGATAGATAGATAGATATTTAAAAAAATTATAGATAGATAGATAGATAGA